CCCAAGGAATGTAGCAACTTTTAACTGCTGCTAGCTTTTATGTATGCATAAATTGTTGTGGCAATAAATGTGACACTGAACTTGAAGTCACTGATGTGATGTTTGTTTGTGTGGAAYGCTGGGCAGACAGATGACCTCTTGGTGACGGACAAGCCCATTGCATAATATTGAGAATGCTGAGGCAGCATACAGACTGCCGTTTCCCCGTTTGTAGTATCTTCAAATAAAATTACCTTAGCAGACTTTGTACTATTTTACACCATTAATATTGCACAATATTAGAAAATCTTTGGCTCAAGCAAAGTGTTTGTAACTTTTACACCTCATGCGTCAATCTCAAGGCACAAGGGCCAGATGTTCCCCGCCACTGCATTTTATGAGCTTCAAAGAGGTATCAATGTCATTAAGTAGGCGTATGCTGTTTCAAAGTCACAATAAAGTAAATAAACAACGACAAACTACATCTCCCATAATGCATCTTGATTATTTTACCTGCAAAATGATGGCATCCCACCACAAGTTGGAGCTGCTCAGGGTTAGAACGTAGCTGACAGTCGGCAAAATTTGCCTTGTAAAATTTCCATTTCACTACATTTTCACCAGCCTCTTTTTGACTGGTTATAAATTTTAACAGAGTGAATTTCCTGTCAGAAAATAGGAGTAAAACTCTCTTACTTTTACTTTTTTTGTATTTCTGCATTATTTATGTCGCATTTAGTCAGTCGTAAACGTAGTTTTATGATCTTTGTGAAACTTATGTCATATGTGTGTCACAGGTTTCAATGAGATCACCCACCTACATAAATGTAAAAAAAGTAATTTTCTTTGTTAACAAGAACGTGTTAAAATGCTATTTCTATGCACGAAATACAAAGTAGAGCTCAGTTATTGTTTGTTAGCTGTGCTCAGCCATAGAAATGAGATAAGGAATATGACAATTTCTGTTTATTTGAAATTAAACATGAAACACTGACGTTAATTACAACTGGGCGTTTGAGGGCCATCATTATGCTCATATGGCCCCCAGTGAAAATTAGTTAAATGCCCCTGTTTCATACTTTTTAGAATTACTTAACTCTTTACAAATATTGTCATGAAATACATTCTGATTTCATCAAAAGCATTGTTTGAATGTGATATTGTGCCGTGTCTGTGTGACACGTCAGCCCAGGGGAATTTACATGTGAGGATGAAGCAGCAGCAGTTCAAATGGCAACCAGTTCAGGTCACGTTGCACTCTCTGTGGCAACAGWTTCTCTGTTGATTTGACTATACATTAATTTCATGAGTCAACAGGCTACGACAAACAGTTTGTGTCAAGCTAAACAGGGTTTAATTGGATTCTGATCCATGGAAACCCCATTGGAGGCTTGTTTCCATCTTTTATTTCAGCGGCACCCAGAGCGTAATGGTAGTGATTACATCCCTCCTGTGGTGTCCTGGTGGTTGTACCCTCGCGGGGCCCCTGGGTGGGTGCTGCTGACAGTCATGCCCTGCTGCCCTGTTTTAATCCTATCAAAACCCGAGCAGCAGCTTGCTGAGGATTTTTAGTTACAGCCCTGCTGAGATGAACTCAGGTTCCAAAAGACTTATAACTAAAAGTAATATTCATTTATTTATTGCTGCACAAAGTTGTCTTGCTGAGATTCCAAACTGTGCGCAAACTATAAAATTAAAACAGCTTACCTCGAGGTGAAGTTAAATTACGAAAGCTTCTATTTGGAACGTTCTTACAAAGCTTAGCTATTTTACTTTTGATTAAAAGAAGAACTTCACTGTAAATAAATTTGTCCCTAAAGGACTAAATGTTCCTTGTCACAGCTAATCAACCTTTTTCTACATAAAAACGTTCATACCTCAGTGAATTTTACCAACACAGAGTTAAGATTTGTGTGAAAGTAGTTGAGTCATTCACACCACATTCTTTACGTGCTAACAGATCACGCAAAATGTTGCATGAGATTGTGCATAATATAGCTTTATTTGTTATAAGATCTTTCCTGCCCACAGCCATCAGCATCTACGATAAGCTTTTAGTTAAATGAGTTACAACAACACCAAATTTCCCTCTGGGATCAATAAAGTATTTTGAATTTGAATTGAATTTGAATAAGAGGTTTTTAGTTGTTAACATCTTTAGATTAAAAAAAACTTGGCATGTGTTGGACTTTACCCATTTTGTCAAAAAAACTGACCTGTTTATTTTTGAGTTTGGCTCAGTTTTAGTGAAACATGAAGTGACATCAAACGGGAACTCTTTAAGCAAGGTAACTCTTTGTTTAATGAAACATTATTTGAACTCTGACTATTTGTCTCTCTGATAGTGACTCAAATGATCTAAAAAAACCCCATCAGATTCTTCTCTACAGTGTGTGTTGTTAGTCACTGTAGCAATGTTCGGTTTACARGTTGTAATTCCACTTTGATGTAATTTCCTGTTACTTTACTTGCAAATATCTCAACAACTGTTCATCTCAGTGGCATGTTTTATTTATTTATTTATTTATTTTTTGCAATATGTTATCAATAGGGATGCACCGATATGAAAATTTCAGCTGATATTGATATCCGATATAATTATTGCTATTATGGCCGATAACCGAAATTTACCAATATTACACAAACACACAAATTACATTTTACATYTAGGCACCAACACACATGGGTCTTTTCTTGATACAGTAAATAAACAACCAGACCTCTGACATGGCTTATTACTTCAGTTATTCCTGCCTACGCAGCATCAATATCACTATCATGATCAAACAGATGCTGCTCAACCAACCATCTCCAATACCAAAACAGAAACACAAAGTTAAAAAGTGGGAAATCAATTTCGGATGATAATATTGGCCCAGTTTTACATATTGGACTGATACCAATATTCTAGGAAATGACCAATATCGGCCGAAACCGTTATGAATGCCGATACATCGTGCATCTCTAGTTATCAATGCTGTCTGTCCAAAAATGCATTCATATTTATCAGAAAAAAATTGATGTCTCAGGCACTTTCAGCAATAGCCTTTTAATTAAAACAGTGTTTTGAGATCATAAAGTGGGCCCTTAAAAATTATATATACGTATATACTATATGTATATATATATATATACACACATGTATATATACACATGTATATACAGTATATATAATATGTTGCTATCCACCAAAACTCAACTACTTTTTTTGTGATAATTTCCCTTGCTGCAGTCACTTCTCGCAATTTTCTCCTCATTTTAAAAAAAGGTGCTGTTTCCTCCTTTAAATGAAATCCTGAATTTTCTGAATGACACCAGCTAACAAGGCCCCACGAGGAAAGGTGATCTCCCTCTCTTACACAGGAGAAAAGGTCGCTGACCTCTGCGCACAACGTTCYTCCTGACAGCACAGGGAGGGACAGCGTTGCCAGACTTGTGACCTTCAGCGCGGCCCCACGCCGTCTTACAACCACAGAGTTGGACATGTGTGAATAATACATCAGTCTCTCCTGCTGGGACCACCGTGAGCTCTCACACAAGCGGAGGTGCACAAACACAGCACTCACATCATGTTGTAAGGTTTGTCTCCCTGAGATTCCCGTGCAATATAATGAAGACAGAGTGTCTCACCAACTGTGGGCTGATGTTTCACATTGTACACTATAAACACCGGTACCAGCAAATACAAGCAGSGATAGATATTTCTGACAATTTATGTGCAAAGATTTTTCTTTAATACAGTTTTTATACACCTTAGTAKGTATCGAACACTTATCTTTATCTTTTTTAAATTACATTTGTGATGTATTATTATTATTATTTATCTACCCATTCCAGTAATGGCAGCAAAGCATAAAAAACACAATGAACGTTGTGTTCCTTTGACCATCACAGTAATTTCCAACCACCACGAGAGTAAGTGAACAATAAATCGAGCCACAAAGATTCTGCTGTTTACACAGTGAGTGTGAATAGAAATGTTTGAACCATCTTAAAATCCCCTGTGATTCCTGGATAGGCGGCATGCCTCTTGTTTCCTTCTGCTTTACATACAAGAACAGCTCTGCGCTTTCCACCGAGATTATTTGAATTTCACAGAGTGTTTGACATTTCATAACAGTGCAGAGAGTTGATATATCTAGACTTCCACTGGTGGTGGTGTTTTTCCCCCCTATCCTGTTTGTATAAAGCCCCATGAAAAAAGAAGTGCAGATGAATATAATAAGTCCCCAAAAACCTGTGTGTGACATCAAAAAGACCAYCCAGATTATTGTTTTACCTTCACACAAAGCCCTCGTGGGATAAGTGTATTTGCATTACACAACATGAGCAGCAGGAGCGTTTTAAAAAAAGATGGGGGAGAAAATGTTTGTGCAGCGATTCTGACATCCTTTATCATGACAGGCAGACAGTCTGGTCCACCTGTTGAAACAGATGTAAAGTGTGAGCAGGTATGTTAATGAGCCTGCACTGCTTTGTTAAATTCTCTTTGCTCGGCCTCACTTAGCTGATAATTTGAAAACAGAGAGAGAGCTCACATGAGCGATGAACAGACTTCTGAGCTGCTACYAGACTAAGACGTTGCGGACAAATGTAACTGTGTGGGAGTGTGAATGTGGGAGAGTGTATAGATAGTAGGAAACAGCCCACACATGAAAAACAAGTGTCTGTTTGTTTTCACTTTCTAGTTTTCACGATGAAGGAAAGGTTTCCTGCAGTCTAATCYTGCAACAAGATGCCATTCAGTTCAGTGCCAGACTGGCTTTTCACACATTACTGTATCTGTTGCTTTTCAGCATGTGCACATGTTAGTACCCTCTGCTGGACTACACAGTGAATTCATGTCATTTCTTCTATTTAAATAAACCTCATTTAAAAAGATTTCACCTCAAAACCATTTAAACTATAATAATATCGTGGATAACTAATTAATCAACTCAATTTCTGGCATTTCTCCACAGTTTTGACAACCGCGACGAAGATGCGGAACTAATGTTTCTTCGAAGTTTCAGTTGCTGGTCGGTGTGTTTTTGTTGCAGCACCTGTTAGCGTGCTTGTAGTTTCGCGAGCGGTGAAGTTAAATTTATTGAAATTCCACAACATTCTTGTCGTAAATGGGGCTGTAGCAGGTATGTGTTGCTGTTTTACTGTTTTATATTAAATATTTTAACAAGAGTTTATTTTAAGACCCGTTGTTGCTATCAAACGAAGCTAATACTGAACGTCGTTTGAACTTTATTAAATATAATGTTAGCTTAAATATTTTAGATAGTTTGCGTTCTTAAAATAGTAATAAAACATAGTTAACTGTGTATGTTTTATTGCTATTTGATTAATACATTGATTTTTGCACAACCAAATTGCCCATGTTGGTTTAGTGATTTTTTTTTTTAATGCAAGTAGTTTTTGTGTATAACTGGAGCAAATGCAAATCTAATAAAATGGGTTGCTTCTTAACATTCCTCTTCATTCTGTTTTGCTTCAGGGGGTTCATTTAATAGAACGCCATAAAAATCTGATAACTGCTGCAGGGCTGTATCACCCTTTTGAACATGTGATATRTTGAGTACAACCCTTTCTTTAGGTAAATTTAGCCTGTTTTTGCCTTCACGTGGCTGCGAGTCTGCATAAAAAAAGAATCAGGTGCTCAGAGTTGGCTGCCTCCTTCTTTGGCAGCATCTCTGGCAAACCAAAGCGTCCAAACATGGATGGAGTCACACAAAGGCAGAGTTGGCGCATCCAGAAATTGTGCAACAAACTGTCATCACTGTGCATGTGTCACATGAGCAGTTCTGGCTCAGGATATCCTCACTGCTGTTTTCTGTTTGCCAGTCTGGAAATTAGGAGCATACTTCCTTTTCCCCCTGCAGCAGAGAAATTGATGAAATAAACAAGTGTCCTGTGTAGGTGTGTGATTATGGTGGGCACTTATTATGACACTAATGGGCCCACGGCCAGCCAATCACACGTGTGATTATGTTCCAGCCCTTGTCTTAAATTGAGCGTTTTTCCAAGTCAGACTGCTTTTAAACAGAGTAGATGTAACTTTGGGTTAAATTACCGGTTCTACATAATCGTTTTAGTTTGAACTAGTGTGAAGCTTTGAACCACTTCCGTTTTCCCTCCCACAGAAAGACAATGGCATCTTTGTGGTCAAAAATCTCAGCTGCTCTACCAGTTAATGAGGAACAGTTTCCCCTGCAGTTCGGTGACAAGGTTGAGTCTAGTGTGTTGGAAARGCTGAAGCGATCCAGACAGCAGCTGTACAGCAACACAACAACAAGTGCCAGCCAAACGCTTAATGCTCAGATCATTTTGGACATTTCATGGGAGAGACTCAACACCGGGACGTGGCGCCATGTGGAGAAAGACTGGAGGCGTGTTTACTCCTACGGCTGCCTGTTCAAAGTGGCTGCAATGTGTCGAGAAAACCRATCAGAGGACGAGATCCTGGAGGCTGTCAGGACTTGTGACATGGGTTTACTCATGGGTGCAGCCATCATGGACAACATGCTTCAGGCTTTTGTTCGGATTCTGCAAAGTGAAATGAGAAATGTTGAAGAAGAAGATAAAAGTGAATGTGTTGAAGCAAAGGTTGGTTGATTTGTTCTGTCCCTTAATATTACTTTGTTTCTGCATTACCCTCACATCAGCTTGGCATCTGGGGATATCACATGAGATCACACATGATGGCGTTTTCACAGTTTGTCATTTCTCAACACGAGGGGATTTTAGTCTAAAACTCTGGCCTAAAAAGGCGGTGGGCGATATGCATTACTTCATAAAATTCTAGGCCTTTACTTTATATTATTATTTCTCTTTTTGCCCTTTATCTTGGTGCACTTCATCAGATTCCACTGAAGATAAAGTGCCACGCGTTCTCAAAGGTCAGATCACTTTGTTTTGACCAGGCTCAACTGACTTTTTTTCTCTCTCTCTCTTGATTACACATTTTCATTCTTTGCCCTGAAAAATGTCAACTTAAAGCTGTTAAAACATCCAAAATACCTGTGAGTAATTGCTTTTAGAGCAGGACTGAAGCAGCTATTTATCATTGTTTTGGATCTGCTGCCTATTTTCTATCTTAATGGGATCTTTAAAAAAATATGAGAAATATGTGATGGCAGTCAAACCCTCCTGCTTCTAATCATATGTTTCCCCAAAAATTAAAATTACTCCTATCTTTTTACCATCAGCTATTTATTCATGCTTAGACGGCTGTTATAATTTCAGATATGGTCATAAACACATATAATAGTGAGTTATTTTAATTACCCGTACTACTGCCTTCTAATGGTGAAACTATTTGTGTACATTTCTTTTTGCCATCATTAACAGAGAATAAAGATTGTGAGCCCACGTGTGCCTTTAATCAAAGAGGAGTTGGCTGTTCCCAGAATTAAGTCTCCTTCACTGGAAAGCTTCAATAAAAACTACTTGCTTCCTCTCCAACCGGTGATTTTAGAAGGGATAATCGACCACTGGCCCGCKCTCAGCAACCATTCGTGGAGGTTTGTCTGCTTCATCTAAAAAGCTTTCCGGTCAAATGACTTTATATCCATTAATACTGTTTTATGTGTTTGTTTCTGCATGMCATCACTGTTATTATTTATTGTTAGCAACATGTTAAAGTCAAAATACTCTGAATATAAAGGATGTTTTAAACAAAATGCATAATTTGTCTGTCAGAATGAAGTTTTTTTTAGTGTTAAGAGCACCCTACAGCTTTGTATAACAACCCCASTTATGTTCACTTCAGCCATGTAATCAGACTGATCTACTCTTGTGACAATAGCTAAGTGCACTTTCCCTGCTGAGAGGACCGGAAAACTGGAGGACCCTCATTCAGAGGGACAGCTGACACGTAACATACAGATTTTCACGTTTACTATAAGTTACGCTCCAACTTTTGGATGCATTTACCCAAAAACTGAAAGTAGAACACACAAACTGAGCATAAGTTTGTTCAGAAAAACGTAGGTAATTCCTCACTTTTAATTGAACAAACTTTCATCGTAGTTTAACAGTAGCATTTCATGTCCTCTTTCACAAAGCTCTTAGCTGCTGATTCACATCCAAAAGTGCTCATTTTAACATGTTTTTTTGCTGCACTGCTCTTTTATTTTTGTGGCTCYTGTCAGTAATTGTCTTCCTCCTGCGAAGCATAGAGTACTTGAGGTCTGTGGCCGGCTGCCGGACCGTTCCTGTAGAGGTGGGATCCAGGTACACAGACGAGGACTGGTCGCAAACGCTGCTAACGGTCAACGAGTTTATTGACAAATACATTTTGAATAAAGTGAGTGCGTCTTCATCGAGGTTTTAAGCTGTTGTAACGCTTAGCAGATTTGTAAAGGCACTGATTTGTTTTTCAGGTCCAGAGTTCTCAAAATGGAGAGAAAGCTTTGGGTTATCTTGCTCAGCACCAGCTTTTTGATCAGGTAGAGTTAGAAAGAGATTAAATTACTTTTAAAAAAATGACCTTAAACAAGTCAGTTCATTTTGTCTGTCATATAAATAGTTCCCAAATTTAGAGTACACGCCCAGTCTCATCACCAAAGGGCATCTGTTTTGTTTTCCTGAAAACGCCACGTCTAATAAAACACCTGAAATGTGTTTTTTTTCCTGTGGTCCAGGTGTTCTACTTGAAAACATCACCATAAAATTAATTTACATCGTGACTGCCTTGTGGCTAGTTTATCTCAACTCCCACAGTCGATGTTAAATCTGTAGCTACAGATGCCTTCATCTAAAAAAAAAATCTAATTTAATGCCTCAAGAAAAGGTCAAATTGGTAGAAATTTAAGAAAACTGTGAGACTGTGACATTAAATGGCTCTAAAAGCATAARTAATGCATAATCAAGTTAGCAATCATGGCTTTGAGACTCAGCAGTGGTAACAAAATAAAAAGATACAAGTGGCTCAGTGAGTCAACAAACTGTCAGGGCTGATTACACATCTGCAATATACTTTCATGACAATCTGTATAATAATATAATATTACTGTTTTAGTTTGAACAAATGTAAGACAAAATAAAAAGGACAAGCCAAAGATTCAAATTTAGTATGAATTTTATTCAGCACACGTTCTAGTGGACTTTAGAATTGCTTTTTTCTCTTTTTAACATTCCTGCTGTAAAAATATGTATCTAAACAGTAAAATAAGCTTAAACTGTTGTTTTGTTTTTGTTTGTTTTATAATCCCACAAGATACCAGAGCTAAAAGAAGACATTCGCATCCCGGATTATTGTWGTCTGGGTGAAGGAGACGAGGATGATATTACTGTAAACGCATGGTTTGGACCCGCAGGCACGGTGTCTCCTCTCCACCAGGACCCTCAGCAGAACTTCCTGGCTCAGGTGACGACGACAATGCTGCCTTACCAATCTGTCAAAAYTAATTCGTCCTGGGATCACAGTTTTGTTAACCACGTGGGAGTCTCTGCTTGCATACAAAGGTGGTGGGAAGCAAATACGTTCGCCTGTATTCCCCAGAGGACACAGACAAGCTTTACCCTCATCAATCACAGCTTCTCTACAATACCAGTCAGGTGGGATTGACAGTTCACAGAAAGAAGAATGTGTGTGGAAAAAAAAATTCCACTGTTTTGAGTTCTGAACTTTCCCGTGCAGGTGGAAGTGGAGAATCCAAATGCTGAACGCTTCCCTGAGTTTGTCAAGGCTTCATATCTGGAATGTGTCTTACAGCCTGGAGACGTGCTGTTCATCCCCGTCAAACACTGGCATTACGTCCGATCYTTAGAAGTGAGCTTCTCAGTCAGCTTCTGGTGGTCATAATTTCCTATTTATAATAATGAAATGTTTAGAATTGCAGGACAGAAAGCATATTTCACACCTCCTTTTATGCCAGAGTATTAAACTAAGTTTAGACACATAAAAACGGGAGGTTTTCTGCTACAGTGAGATGAGATCAATCAAGTGTTTTAGCTTATGTGAAGCTAATTGTCATAAATAAAAGGAAACACTGATCACACAAACCTTTGACTCATAAACAGAAGCTGCTAGATGATTGGTTTTATTTAGCTGCTGATGAGTGAAGCAACACCCTTTGTGTGAAAAACCCAACAAAACATCAGTGCTGTTAGTCATCTGAAATAATATGTAACTCTTTGGAAATTGGCTTATTTAATTGCCTCCTCACCTTTATTCACACAAACATCCTACGAGGTGTGATTTCCATAATTCAGGAAAATGAGACAAGTTCTCAAATTTAATAACTGAGTGAGCTGCAAGTACAGACATGAACTAACAACTGCAACTCTTTGAGTAAACTGACAGTCTGAAGCAATCAGGCAGGTGACGCACAAAAAAAAGGTATTATATTAAATAAACTGAACCCCAGGGCATACACAAGGCTTTGAATTTAAAACAGCCTCTCTGGATGAATGTCTTTAACAGTGAACTGAGACGAGCGGATTTCAAGCTTCAGTCGTGTATCCTACAGGTCCTTTTCAGTCAAACCTGCCTATATCGGCTATGATGTGAGGATGTAACAAAATTAGGCAGATCGGCCCTGATGTGTACGTTTTATCTGCTTGTCAGCCTAAATGCACGGTCGGCTAAAGTAGTGCTTTGGGAAATCAACGGCTGTGGTAGCCAGGTGGAGCTGAAGAGTAGCAGGGATAATAAAGTAAAAGAGTTCAATAAACACAAGATTTATAACCGGTTTTAGGATAATGTCTACATTATTTAATATACCAGAACACAAATTCATTTAAAGGCCTAGCATTCTTTGGAATGTGGCTGTTTTGATCAAACCTTGTAAACAATGTTGGGCATGAGTGTCACCTATCGAACATGCCTTTGTTCAGGTAATAGACTTATCCAAAACTTTCTCTACAAGATCATGCCAGGACCACTGGAATGGAAACCTTTCCCCTTAAACTTATGTCTTTTGTGCCTCTTTTCTGACCAACATAATTGTTGATTTTTATTTTAAAGAAATCAGACAAATCAACATTAAATTCAATATTATTTACTATGTGGATATACAAGTTTTTATAAAGACAAAGCCTGTGGAAATACATGAAAAATAGGGGGATTATTCAGATAAATCAGCAATTGTAGCCAAATATTACAAACTGTGGTGCAAAAAGACTTGATTAATACAGAAAACACCTAAACAGACCTATTATAGCTTAGATTAAAATACATGCATTTTATTAAAGATTTACTAAATAGAACATTAACAACTGTATGCAAAATATACAAAAAAACAACAAGTAGTGATTATTAAACATTAATTAGTATCATTTATACATATAATAAAAGGCATTTGTCTTGCATTCCAGTGTTTTAGGATAATATGAGAAATTCTAAGACTAGCCATTTTTATACAAATAATATGCACGATCATGTGCAAATAACACAAACCATTATGCTCAGAGTATATGTTGGAAATGACTCTCTGCTACTACCACATCAACCTTTAGGACAATATCTGTAGAACTGACTTAAGTGTGGCCATATTTGTGTTTTAGAGGTCCGTTGACWGTGGCAGCCATCTTAAATCCAGCTGTTAATCAAGTGTAGATGACCATCCAAAGATTAGATTATTCTATGGAAGTTTAAATTTGTTCAGTTGTTCACGAGATATTTTGGTAAGAGATGCAAACATTATCTTCTACTTTTGCTTTTCGTCAGCGGGTGAAAACAAGCTTTTAATAAAAAAATAAAACGAACAAATTAGTGACGTAAAATATCTTCAACAACATTATTATTAAGACAAACCTGAGCTGTAAGTAGGCGGTTAGGAAGACTTTAGAGTCAGACTAAGTGCGGTGCAATGGTTTAGTCGAAAATCCCACTGGTTAAACATTAACCATCACTGTCCAGAGTCCAGTGAAAAGGGTAGAGAATCTGCAAAACACAATTTGTGCCTTCATAATCATCTAAAACCATCATATTGTACTATCCTGGGATCATCATTATCCAAATGTACAAGACCTTCGGAGCATCAGCGAAAGAATGCATTAAATTACTCTCCAACTTCCTCCCAAATAGTGTGTATGTCCCAAAACACAGCTGATACCTAATGAGCATGTGTGCCCTTTAATCTTCCTGAAAGTCTGTAGGAAAGTCCTGCACCCTTTCCACGATGAAGAAGCAGAGGGTTCCGATGAAGCCCAGGATGACCAGAAGCAGGAGCTGCCACATCAGCAGGAGGTACCCGCTGTAGAAGAACGCCACGGCTGCACAGACAGACTAATGAGGGGGGACACAAATTTTTTACTGTCATTAGGAAGAGGAAATGGTTTCGATGCACCGCAAAAACTGAAAGATCTAAGCCCGAAACTAAAGAGAGTGACCATCACATATTCTAACGTCACTTCAATTTTTGTATTTTTTTTATAGTTTTGCATGGGAAACGTTAAAAAATCTATTTTGATGGGTGTAATGTTTGTCAACTCTGCAGCAGAAAAACAAGAGAGAACACAGTGGAAGTTATGCCTTTTTGCCACTTTGTATTCCTATTAATGAGCCTTCTGGTGAATTTATTTCACACTTGACAGGACAYAGTTTTGACTGAGCTTTGCTCGGCTCTGCTAACAATGTCTGGGAATAGGCAATTGAGGATTACCTGGATGAATTTGAAGATGGCAAAAGCCGCCGCGCTTTGTTCCGCATAAACATGGCCCAGGATGCTATAGAGCTGCGTGTTGAAACAACTGTCTCCGAGTCCGAGCAGGAAGCTGCACAAGAGGGCGATGGAAACACTGGGAGAGAAAACGTAGGTCCTATTAGAGTATCATAACGCTTCTGGTAAATCAGAAATAATCAAAAGGCCAAGCTTTCCTTGAAGAAATGCACAAAAAATTTCATCGTGTGTAATTAATCATCAGAAAAACTCAACAATTAATATTAGTACCATGTGATTACAGATTTTTGAGTGCAACACACAATCATCAGGCACATGTGTGAGCCTAATGGCACCAGTGTGGAGCAGCTAATGCTAACCCTACGAACTTGTATAATACCTGAAACACCGAAATAAACCGGAGTATGGGGAAAACCAGAAAAGGCAAAACAAGGCCACAACGTCAGCTACTTGCAAGTGCAATTGTCATCTATTAATTGTCATATTAATAGTTATCAACCAAATGCTATTGTGATATTTGTAATATTTATTTGTTTATTTTTTTCATTTAATCATAAAACAAAACATTTAATCAAAAAAACAACAATTTTCAACACAACACAAAATCATTAAATTAAAGGGAGCAGAAAGAAGAAAAAAATCTTTATATATATATATATATATATATATATATATATATATATATATATATATACACAAACATTTACATAAATAAGCAAAACAAAAAGGTTAAAATATCTGCTAGTAATAAAAAATATTAAAACTATTCAACCAGCAGCTTGTATAAATGCCTATTATGTATTTTCATATTTATTCAACAAATCAAATTGTACCAATCTTCCAAATAACTTAATCGAACCAGCATTTTTACAATCGCTAACCAATTTGTTCCATAACTTAATTCCTTGAACTGAGGTACATCTTTCTTTCAAGTTAGTTCGAATTTTGGGTTTCACAAACATTTCAAATCCTTTAAGACTATAAATACTTTCCCTCTTAACGAAATTTAATTGAATGTTCAAAGGTAATGTGTTTTTATGAGCCCTATACATAATTAGCAAAATCTTATAATCAACCAACTCCTGAAACTTCAACTATTTCAAATGACAAAATAATATATTTGATGGGTAACTGTAATATTTCGTGGTGATAATTCTTATGGCTCTTTTTTTGCAAAATAAACGTAGACTTTGTAAATGTTTTACATGCCTTTCCTCAGACTTCAACACAATAAATCAAATGTGGAACAATTATTGCATTATATAATATACATAGTGCTTTATCATTAAACAATTCCTTTACCTTGTATAGTACTGCAATGGATTTTACTTATATGAGACTTCCAAGTCAAATTTTCATCAATGATGACACTCAAGAACCTAACCTCACTGACTCTACTAGTCTCAACACCATCGACTCTAAATGAAAGATTGACCGTTCTTTTTCTGTTTCTATTTTTTGCCAAAATCGCACAAACCTTTTATGTACAAAATGTTGAGAATTGACAACGTATCCATTTTAGTTAAATCTTGAAAATAACGTTCAATCTCATGATCAGAAAATGTGCTTGGATTATCTCTCTGCTACAATCACGTCAAATTTAAGCAATAATGACCCACCTGGGTGTTAGGTACGGGCTCTTCTGGGTGGTGGTTTCAAACACGACYGGTGCGTCATCTGGGATGTTCAGAAAGATCAAGTACGAGGCGATGAAATGGACAACCATTCCCAGAAAGACCACGGAGGTTCGTCTGAAGCGGCTGTTCTTGCACAACAGTCCAAACAGACCTCCACCTGGTGGGACAGAGGAGGTTATGGGTCAACCCTAAGATCTTTAGTGACTTTAAATCTGCCCCCGACATGTTCCGTGCCATGAAAGTAAACCCACCTACTATTTCTCCGATGCCTACCACGATCCCAGAGATCCCAATCAAGCCTTTGGCTGCTGCTCCAAAGTGTGTAGTAGCTCCGATACACGTTCCATACACACCGCTGTAGAACGATAGCTCGAGGCCTGGGGAACAGGAAAGATGTGAAGCACTGTAGCTGCAAGGCCTTTTTTTTTTAACCGGAGGCTGAAAGATTTAGCGCATTAATGCCTTACCGCTGTATGCCATGCAGGGACTCAGGAGCAGGATGGTTTTAGTCCTCAGCAGCTGCAGGATTGTTTCTGGAAGGGAGGAAATACAACAGGCTAATCTGAATTGCTAATAAAAGCCTAATTCTTAAACTAATACACCTTCTTTACTTCTGTATTAAAATGTATGTAAAAATGCAGAGATTAAGGCCCTTTTTTTCTCTGACAATTAAAGTTCTAGTGGAATATGGGGAAATACTCCTCTAGCAATAAGCCAAAAAGCCACATTTAAATGCAGATTGAAAAGCACCCAGGAGAGATTTCCATTCAGGCTGTTAGAGAAATTCGGGGGTTTTAAAGCACAAATCCCACCGGATTTGTTTATATATGCCTCGATGCCCTTTCTCGACATGAATCGCCGTGCATCTTTGATAAACCTGATATCTTTCAGGTAGGTGCACACAACACACACGCATGCAAGACAAAGAGCAATCAGATCATCCAAACAACCCCGGGGCAAGTGCTGAAAGCAGAAGCGACTGCAGCAAAGTTTCCAGATGACAAACAGAAGAGATAATCGGAGATAAACTTGCGCTAAGACACTTTCTGTGTACTCTGTCGTGACGCTGAAAGATTCTTATCCACATGAAAGTGAATTTCACTTGAAGAAAAACAAAACTGCCTGGCTGCTAGTTGTAGACTAAGAGTAACTGAATGTGAGGAAAGTAAAAAAAAATCCAGGAAAGAAAGGAAAAATAGAGCATTTTAGCTTTGAAAAACTCCCAGGTGGATCAAACTCCATTTGGTGACATATTACGTCTCGATTTTCACCCAAACAAGACGCAGGCACCTCAGCAAAGTCAATTTTGTTTTCAACTTTGGTCCAAAGAAAACAACAGATGCCAGCTGGACTGCTAACACATTTATTATAGAAATATTTTCCCTTCAGAATGAAAGACAGTAACATCATTTATAGGCTGACTTTACCGTAGGTGCCATTGCGGAGTTGTTTTAGACAACATTTTGAATAACTTTTGTGCATAAAAATTAGTGTCTAAATTAAATTTCTTGATTTGTGGTGAGAATGGAGGGAAATTACATGTCATAAGCAAATATTTGTGTAGTTAACAATTCTGCTGTCTCTTTCCTGTCCACCAACCCAGCCGGTCGAGGCAGTTGGCTGCCTGTCGAGCCTGGTTCTGCTGGAGGTTTCTTCCTGATTAGCAGGGAGATTTCCTCTCCACCGTTTGCTCAGGATGGGAGACTGTGATGAAGTGATTCAACACAATCTGCTGGTTTCTTCTTTATATTGTTCTTTTTTCATGTACAGTGCCCTGGGACAACATACACTCACCGGCCACTTTATTAGGTACACCTGTCCAACTGCTCGTTAACACTTAATTTCTAATCAGCCAATCACATGGCGGAAACTCAGTGCATTTAGGCATGTAGACATGGTCAAGACAATCTCCTGCAGTTCAAACCGAGCATCAGTAAGGGGAAGAAAGGTGATTAGAGTACCTTTGAATGTGGCATGGTTGTTGGTGCCAGAAGGGCTGGTCTGAGTATTTCAGAAACTGCTGATCTACTGGGATTTTCACGCACAACCATCTCTAGGGTTTACAG